GGCAGCCTGCCGTTGATGGCCGCTGCTGGGAAATGTCATTTGGGTTTCAGCTGCCAGGCTCTGGGCTGTCTTAAGTTAATTATGGGCTTTAAAGGAGGAGGGGGAAAACAGAGCGGGAGGAGTGGAACCAAAGACTGAAGTAAGACTGATCAGAGGAGCCTGTTTGTGGGCAAGAGGTAATGGGGGTGGATGCTAGTCCTCTCCTCCTCTTTCTGCTTGCAGTGAGGGCCAGAGATGGCAGGAGCTTACTCGAAAGTGGGTGAAGTTCCAGATGAAGCGGTATGTTTGATACGTTGCACATCAAGCCTGCTGGGAGGATTTAGGCTGCAGCAATCACTGAAAATACGACGAGAGAATCGTCCTTCCGTATAAAAATGCGAGCAACTGAGTCGCGTTGGGTACATCTCGATACTGATTCTGTTTGCTTCTCTGTTTTTGCTTGTCTTTAGAGTATCAAATCTGTTGGTAGAGCACAGTCCAGTCGGGAGTGGTGCCTACAGGTCAGTGGGTGAGTGGCTGGAAGCCATCAAAATGGGCCGGTACACGGAGATCTTCATGGAGAATGGATACAGTTCGATGGATGCTGTGGCTCAAGTGACCCTAGAGTGAGTAGTACCCAGATCATTTTCACCTCATTTGTTGGAATTGCAGAGGAGGGGAAGACAAACCATTCAAAAATATGTAGGGATGAGGCTGCAGGACGGGAAACCATTACCCTTTGTTTGCAGTCAGCAGTTTCTCTTTTAGCATCTGTATTGATGACAACAAGTGCAGGCACAACTAAAACCTGCGGTCACTACACTGGCAGCCAGTACTTTGGCTTCTTTACTCACAGGCATTAGTGCTTGAGTTTGAACAATTGCCAGGCTGTCCTCTCGACGTAAGAGCAGTTAATTATCTGGGGTTAACGATAAATAAAAAACCCACTGTACTAGTAAATGTATAGGAGCTAGAGTCCCCGCTCAAGCATGCTGGCTTTACACTGGATTAGCTGGTTTCACAGTTCATCTGGACATAACCAAGTGGGCAGTCAAGCCTGGTAAGACGTGGAAATGGTATTCAACATTAACAAAAATAAGCATAGATACAGCCGATGCCAACAGAAGAGCATGATGACCACAGCTTGAGGTGACAGGCTCCTTGGCTGACACTCTTCCTTAGAATCATAGAATCACAGAATGGTTTGGGATGGAAGGGACCTCAAAGATCATCTAGTTCCAACCCCCCTGCCATGGGCAGGGAAACCCTCCACTACACCAGGTTGCCCAAAGCCTCATCCAACCTGGCCTTGAACACTTCCAGGGATGGGGCAGCCACAGCTTCTCTGGGCAACCTGTTCCACCGCCTCACCATCCTCTGAGGGAAAAATTTCTTCCTTATATCTAATCTAAATCTGCCCTCTTTCAGTTTAAAGCCATTGCCCCTTGTCCTATCACTACATGCCCTTGTAAACAGTCCCTCTCCAGCTTTCCTGTAGGCCTCCTTTAGGTACTGGCAGGCTGCAATAAGATCACCCCGGAGCCTTCTCTTCTCCAGGCTGAACAGCCCCAACTCTCTCCGCCTGTCTTCATAGCAGAGGGGCTCCAGCCCTCAGATCATCTTTGTGGCCTCCTCTGGCCCCGCTCCAGCAGCTCCATGTCCTTCTTGTGTTGAGGATTCCAGAGCTGAACACAGTATTCCAGGTGGGGTCTGAGGAGAGCAGAGCAGAGGGGCAGAATCACCTCCCTACACCTGCTGGCCACACTGCTTTGGATGCAGCCCATTCCTTCTGAATGTGCCCTTGGTTTTTGCACGTGGGTATGACTGCAGCTGGGGCGACAGCACTCAGGTGACTTGGTAAATGCTTCGAGGGTACTGATTTGTTATGCTCCACCTTTAATTGCCTGCCTTGCTTGTCTAATTATGTCTGTACTCTCCTCCTGCTGCTTACTCAAACTCGCCCCAAAGCCTGCCTTTCCAACTGGGTTAATTTGAGCTTAGTTTACTGCAGGAGTTAATGCAGAATGGGAAGGATTATACTGGAGAAGGTTGTGGCTCCTCTGACCACATGCAGATTGCCAGGGCACATACAGATTTGGTGCCAAGCATTAGGAATAAAACAAGAAAAATCCCCACTCCTCACAGAACCACAGTGTTTCTCCTGTTGGCCACAGGGCTTGCTGTGGAGCTCACCGCACAGGGTAGGAGGTCCTTTGCACATGATGCAGGTTGGTGACATCTCCAGGGAGTTCAGTTTCATGTAGCAAGCATGGAGGGACTGCAAGAGCGTATCTGCTGTCACTCCGATTTTATTTGCTCCATTCACATCATCAAATCCCTTACACCCGGACTTATCCAGTCTATCTTCAGGCATTCATGTGAAAATCCTGAGCTAGGGATTAAATCTTCTCCAGTGACTGTCTAGGGAGTCAGAGTGCATGGTTTAATGGGGATTAGGGATGGTTGGACTCGATGATCTCTAAGGTCTTTTCCAACCTAGAAATCTATGAATCTATGAATCTAGCTCTTTTTTTTGGGTGCCTGAGACTCTTACATGCAGTTTCCCAGCCTAGTCCAGCAATTACGTGCCGTGTTACTTTGGCTTTTGAGGACTCCACGGTCCCTTACCTACTCATCTGATATGGCAGTGCCCAGAAACACCAGGCTTCGGGGCTCCATTTAGACTGGTGATCTACAAACGTTGGCCAAGGAAGAGGTCCATCCCCAGCGTGGTCAGAGTCCACATGGCAGAAAGACCTAGCCAGAGGGTGAGTGGGAAGTGGAAGGATAGGATGAGACAGTAATTTAAGAGAAAACGAAAACGTTGAAGCGTTTGCCTCTACTGTGCCACCTCAGTCTTACAATCAGAGCAAGTTCTGGTAGAAAATGCAGATAGTCTAAAACATACCATAGACTTGTTGCTTTTTGGCTGAATTAGTCATATCAGAGAAGCAAATTAGGTTGAACAAAAGCTTCCAGTTTGTTCCTCTTTAGAATTTTATGCCATTTCAAGAGCTCTAGAAGAAATCCTTAGAAGTGAAATGCTTTTTGCTTCAGAAAAAGTCAGAGAAAATGTTGAGTTCAAGCCTAAATGAATGGTCATTTTTGATAGTCAATTAGAAGTTCACTTACGTAGCTTTAAACAGTCTTAGCATCCCTCTGTGCTGACACAGTCTTAGTGTCCCATCCCGCTAACAAAACTATTCCTAACCTCCCATTTTCTTGAGTGGAAATTATCTCCTTGAAATTATCTCCTTCATTTGATTTAAAAATTTGAATACTTCCCTATATTTACTCTTTAGTATTAAAGAAATTTCAGAAGTATCCCCCAAAATCTTTCCGGACTACCCAAAAAGTACTTCAAAATGCTTTTTCCAATTGGCAGTGAACCAAGAAATCCATTGTCTCTACAGTTCTAGCCAGAAAGGTAAGTTGGTTTAAAAGTCTCTGAATAAGATTATAGCTGCCAGAGATGACCTGACCCTCACCAGCTGCAAACTGCCACTAAGGCCCCCTCCACCAGGTCCCAGTGTGTTCTCTATAGCACAAATGTCATCCTGCTCTGGTCCTTTACTGGCCCCAGTGGAGACAACATGTCTGAGCTGCTCAGCTTCAGCTTTCTTCTGGACTTTCACAGCAGTGCAGAGGAGCTGATGCCTGCGAGCCTGAGGAGCTTCTGGGTTTTGCTTTGGGTTTGGGAGACATTTCATGAATCCATCTTGCATTTTGGTTTAAACTGAAAAAAGATTGAAACTAACTCCAACAAGTTAGTTATCCATGCTAGCAAGTAAATTCCACCCCCAGCTGCCTTGGTCAGAGATGAGTCAGGCTTGGTTCTTGAACAATTCAGCCCACGTATCTTTGCGTTGCAGTGATGGCTTAGCAAGAAGGCTTGACCCCACTTGGGTCTATTTTTGGTGAAAACCAAAATATTTTGTGGAAGATTCATTAAAAAGCCAACCAATCATCAAAATCAAGATTTATCTTATCCCTCTCAGCTATAGTAAAAAAAGAAAAGAGACCAGATTCTCAGCTGTTAAAAAATGAGAAACCATCATAGTGGTTTAAGAGGAAAGGTGTCCCGTGTTGAAGACCCAAACCTCATGCTCAGGCTGATGTAAACTGGCAGATTGCCCTTAAAATCAACAAAGAAAGGGAGAGAAATGGCTCCTGGGTGCGTTTACCTGAGACTCTCATGGGTTCTCCAGAAAATAAACATCGGAACGAGCAAAGTTCTTTAAAGGTTAATATAGTGGGGGTTTTGGTTTTCTGGAGGTTTTCACTTTTTTTTTCTCCCCATAAAAGGGAACAACAAAACATTTTGTACTCTGCAAAGGAAAATTCAGGTTAAATGTTCCTTGTCATTTTTAATAGAGGCAACTGTTCAGTATATTCCAGAGCTGGGACTTGGGGGGATCAGGTGAAAAGATGATCTGAACATCAGAAAGTACCTTGCTTTCCCCAAATGACATAAGTAAAACATTCTTTACAATTTAAGAGGTTGCCTTCAAATACCATCCAAAATGATCTTCCGCAAACTGCGTAGGAGGCAGATGTAAAAATTAGGTGGAGAAAGGGGAACTGGATAATGCTGCCAGAAAAGGCAGGAAAAAAAAAGCTTATGAGTGTAAAGAATTCCTAAAATCTACTTTAAAAAAATTACTAGTGCTGTAGGAAGGATTGGCCATAACGCTGACGGGACTGGTGACTGTAGGCGCCCAGCTTGTGGCCTCTTTACAGGACCTGGTTGAGATGGTAGATGTTCAGCATTTTTTTAAAATCTCCCCCACTGGCATGCAAAGCAAAATCCTGATTGCTGCCCTGCTTCTTTCAAACTGATGACTTGATGCATTTATTCCAGAAAAGAGTAGTATTAGTGACAAATTTCTGAAAGCGTTATAAAGCTAAAAGTGGTGAATAATCGCCCCAAGTCCTGAGCTCTGCCTGCTTAAGCAAAGACCTGAAAATGTGTGTGTTCAAACAAAGAGTGATTTCTACATTTAGCTCTAATTCTTGCAAAGGGACGAATCACCTTGTGAAAAGTGGAGCCTCACCCTCCACCCCTTCTTTCCAACTGGATATCAGACTTGAAGGCAACCTTTCCAGTGGACCAGACCTGCTCTTTAAACTTCTGGACCACCTAGTGACTTTGAGTGTGTCTGGAGCTCTTTCAATCCACTGCAAGAATAACTTTACCAGGACAATACTCAAGAATAGATAGATCCATGACATGAGTTTCAGTCTGATCCTTGACTGGACCAATTACTAACCATGTGGACTACATACTTCCACCTTTTGAAAGATCTGTACTCACTGAATCTCAGGACACCCTGTTGTTTGTTATTAGATGAAGAGCTCTGAATATTTGTAATAATATGTGCTGTGTTGCTTTGCATTGTATATTTTTTTTTCCTTCTAAAATAAAATAAATTATTTATTAAAAGTTATACTGGATGAAGAGCGTTTAAGAGTTCACCTGCTCTAGATGCTTATTCTTAACCTGAAATTTCAGTCCTGAGATTGTGATACTATGTCTGCTTCTGAACAAACCAATTCTTATCTCTTAATCAAGTAGGACGGGAATAACGAATAAGAGCAGATGAACTCTTAAAAAAAATTATTCTTTTTTAAAGTCCTCGTTTCATGCAAAAGTCCCTAGCAAGTGGATTCCTCTCTCTTTAGCATCTTCTGAAGGTCTTTGAGGTTATTCTTCTTTCCCCTCGTGCAGACTGATGAGGGGAAACTCATCAAACTAACTCCGTGAGTAGTCCCAGTCTGCACGGGCAATGTAGAGTTACACCACGTGAAGAAGAGTGGTGATATCTGGCCTGGATGGGAGTTGAAATACAAAATGTCTGTGGTAGGTTGATGGCTGCCGGCCACGGAGATCTTTGAGGAACCTTTTGCTTGTATGACTAACTGGCTGGTGAGGGGGGGTTGTATTTTATGTGGCAATCCAGTCCTAGTCTACACTGTGTTTGACAAACTGGTCCCTGGTGTGTAAGTAGTTCTGTTTGTAAATAAAATGTTTTAACTATATTTCTTACAACGTGGAGACCGTGAATTCAACCCTTGCAAGTGGAGGATATTGCAGGGAAGGGGACACCGTTGTCGTCTCTGTCACATTGCAGCTGGACTTTTGTGCAAAGGTGGTGGTAGGAGATCAGCGTGCGTGCAGCTGCATGCAGCCTGTTTGGGATGAGCCGACACCAATTTTCCCCTTTATAGCCTTGACTTTTTGGTCAACTTAGGTTGGCCTTTTAGTACTGCGTTGGCAAGTGATTCCAATTCCTGACTGTTTCCATTTTCAACCCTATGCCAATGAAAAAAAGAAGTGAAAAGGAGAGACTTCTCCCTGAAACAAGAATAAAAGTTGTCTCGTTGCTGGTGGGGGTCAAGCATTTCGAAGCAGGGAGACCTCACAGCACACCAGTATCTCTACGGCCTCGGGGAGCACCCGTGCCGCCGCTGCAGCAGCGCACACGAAACCCAACGCCGAGGGTCGGGCCACTCGCACGGCACGGTGCAGCCTGGATCCTGATCACAAGTGTCGTTTGACTCGGGTCTTAGTTATGCCTTTTCTTGCAGGGAATTGCACGTTTTTATTGCAACGCCCCAGTAGATACCCACACACATCTCCTCTGCGGAGCCGAGCCCAGTATAATTACCAGTTGGCTGCGGTAACGTGAGCCAGGCAGCTCTGGACTGGAGCTTGAGAACAGTTGTTTTGCAGCCCTTTGGCACAGAATTTGATTTTTTTTTTGTCCCCAAACCAGCTGGTTTGCACACTCAATTTTGTTTAAAATTGGCTTCTGCCTTGCGCCGCTTGAAGTCCTTCAGCGCTGGATGCAGGGGAAGGTGCAACGTGCTGTGAGTCACGCTTGAAAAACGGGAATTAAAGCTCCTGCGTTCTCTAGGCGGTTTTTGGAAAGTTTTCTTGCCAACTTTGTAATGCTTTTGAATAAAGCTTTTGATTTTATACTAGATGAGCATCTGGCTCAGGAGCTGTTGTCTTCTGGTCCGTCTTTGTGGAGGTGAAAGACCCCACGGTAGGTTTTTTTCCCCCTCTCTGAGGAGTCGTCATGCTTTTGGCCGGTGGCTTCGCGTTCGAGAGGATTTGATATTCAAAAAAAGTAAACTGGAGCCCCTGGTGAGCAGCTAATGGATTGAAACCAGAAACTCCTTTTTCTTATTTCTCTCTTGTAAATCAATGAGGTGCTCCTCAAGGATATTGAGTTAAGGGGATACTATGAGGGGAAAAAAAGCTGTGTAGTGAGTAGGGGGTTTTTTATTAGACTGATGGAGCTGCGTGTGAAACGCCAAGATGTACATGCCTTTCTCATAGTTTCAGGCTATTTTTTTTCTGCATGACATGCAAGAGTATCAGAAATGATACATCTGTGAAATATGTGGTGCTGGATTTTCAAAATAGCTCAGCTTGCACTTTGGATACCTGGGGAAAAAAAAAAAAAGCTGAATTTTCAAAAAGTGCCAGCAAAGCAGCACTCAGCAGGGGGAAGATGGATGTTGTCTCTTTTAAAAATCAGGTCCTATACTGAGTTGGTTTTTGTTTGTTTTTTTTTTTTATCTTTGGTGTGAACTTCCAACTGTGCTGTGTACATAAAATAAATTGCATGTAACAATAGCATTACTACATTTTCCTTCGTTATTAAGATGGCTTGCTGAACTAGTTTCACAATTCAGTGGAGGCAGAAATGAAAGCATGTCCCCCTGAGATGGTAGACACCTTTTGCAGATGCTGCAGCCTTTTCTCTGCCAGGTAAGGAGCGTTGCTGATGTGTCTCATTGACCTCCCTTGCTCCATGCTCCTTACATTGTGATTTCCCCTATGCATCGGCGAGATGCATCGCTGAAAAAGTGTACGATAATGACACAAAGTGTTTAGCCTGGAGCAGAAAATCTGGTATTTTCCAAATCAAAAGGCTGAAAGCGTGACAATCCTTGGAGAACAACAGATCTAGCTTTTGGCTCCAACCAGCTTATGTGTTAACATATAAACCTTCACTCGGGATTGCTTTTTATTGAAAGCAACGTTCATCTGTGTGATTTTCAGACATGGATGGTTGGTTGTATTCACAAAGGAGTCTCTGTCCAGAACGTGAAGCTGCTTAGAGAGAGGTACACCTCCATGGGTAGCTCCCACAACGTTACATGGAAGTGTTTTGGTGGTCGTTGCATGTGTTCGTCTGTGGTCCAGCGTACAGCCATGCTGTGAGCTGTAGGCCAGGTTTGCAATATGTCTTAGGTGATGGTTGGGGTCCTGGGTGTCTCTGGCGATCCCCAGCCCTTGCACGCACCAGCCCTGCCAGCGTGGTTTCCAAAAACCACCTACATGTTTGAGGAGGTCATGTCCTACTGGCTGTCGATGGCGAGCTTTCTCCTGAAAGACTTGTGCACAGGGTGTCAGCAGCTCTGGGATTCACACGTGTGTTTGCAAAACTTAGAGCCCTGCTTTGGAAACGTCCTTTATTCAGCCCAGCCTGGAGGTAGAAAGCAAGAGGCTGATATTTCTTTAGTGGAAGTCTTCAGACAAAACACCAATCTCCTTCAAGTCGAACTGCTTCTCTTAACAGTCTCTGTGTCTTGTCTTGGAAACACAGATACGCCTGTCTTGATGTTTCTTCCAAGCTTTTTTACCTACAGTCTCTTTGTTAATACTTTTCCCCCTAGAAAGAAGTCCCTGCAATAATACTCTGCCGTAACTCATGGCCTCACCTGGCTTTAGATGTGTCATTGAATTCGATCGCCGAAGGTCCTGCTGTAGTCTCTCCAGGGGGTGACTTGTCCCTTTCCTGTCTTTCAATGAGATAAATTGTCCCCTGGAGGTGCCTCTTTCACACCATCAACATGAACCTTGGTGATTACCTTCATCTATACACCTAAATTTTAGAAGGCTGAGCTTCTGAGTAAACAAACTTTCCTCCTACTCCTACATTTCAGATAAACTACTTCATTTTGCAGCTTTCCTGTAACAGAGAGACTCAACACAAATGCTTGTAGAAATCACAAACAAAACAAAAAAATATCAAACTTGAGTTTACAGGAAGATTTGCAAAGGCCCAGAGGGAAGTTGCGTTGCCGTTAGTGTTGACTTTAGGGGTCATCGGGGTGGTGGCCATGCTTGAGGCTTGTGCCATTCAGCTCTTGGTAGGAGCTGGCTCTAGGATTGCAGTTTGTGTATCTTTGGCTTTGCCTAGTCCGAAGAGGAAGGAAGCGCGGATTGACCTCACTCCTCGCTGCTTGTATCAGAGCTCAAATACCAGCCTCTCCCAGGAGAAGAGGAAACTGCAACACAGGTCTTACATGGCTTTTCTCTTGGAAGTAGGACTTTTCACATCTAGCAGAGTCCTTGGCCAAAGCTAATGCTGACATTTTGCTGTCCACCTTTTCTCCTTGGCCAGCAAGGTGATCTCGGACAAATCACGTCACCTCTCTGAGATGCTGTCAGCCTTTAAAAAATTTTTAAAATGGGGAAAATTAAACTTGCCCACTACACTTGGCTTCGGGAGCCACCAATGGTAAAAGGTAGGCGCTGGCAGCAGCATTGGCGCGTGCGGCGCGTGGTGCGCGCGGCGGCGTGTGCCTGAGTGGTCCCTGGAACCAACGTCTCCTTTCTCCCACAGGGATTTGAGGCGGCTGGGAGTGACACTTGTTGGTCACCAGAAGAAGATAATGAACAGCCTTCAAGAGATGAAGGTCCAGTTGGTGAATGGGATGGTGCCGTTGTAACTCGGTTTTAAAGTCGCTTCCTCAAGTGGGTCGGTCCTGCACTTTGTACACTAGCCCCGAGATTTATTTTGACTAAAAAAAAAAAAAAAAAAAAAAAAAAGATAAAAAGGGAAATTCAGTGACTTCTAGAACTGAAGGACGTTGGCCTCTGCCGCAGTGTTTCTAAAGCAGTGTCTGACTGAAGTTTTCCTTTCTTCCCGTTTGTGTCCTCATTTTCATGAAGTAAATGTAAGATGCATGGAACATGGAAACAAATCTGCTGTACGTGAGGTTAACCCGTCTCTTAAGCTTCAGCAACAAGGACAACAAGCCTTCCCACCACACGTTGTCTGTACATGGGAGATATATATATAGACACATATATATATAGCACCTTTATATACCGAATTACAGCAGCACATGGTCGTACTTCCAAGGACTGGCTTGAGCGGAGGAGTTGGGTAGCCCTTTGTGGGCTCCCAGAAGCTGCGGTTTACTGAAGTTTAACTTCCAAGTCTTACTTGTCTACAGAAGTGTATTGAAGAGCAATATGATTAGATTATTTCTCGATAGATATTTTGTTTTGTAAAGTAAAAGAAAAGAAAAATGCTGTTACACAGCATTAAGTTATAGAGACTAGTGTATAAACATGTTGCTTGCTCCATGGCAAATACAATACAGGGTGTATATTTATTTTTTTTTTTCCTCCCTCTGTGTTGCCAAGTTCTTTTCGTTTACTCTTCTGGGAGGATGACACGTGATGAAGATGTATATACTGTACAGTTTGCTATGCATCAGGTACAAGATTGGGGCTCTTCCCTTGATTTCTTCTTTTTTTTTCCCGCTCCTCCTTCTTTTTGTTTTGTCTCCCTTTTGTGTTACCACTATGCTTTGTATTTTTGCTGCTGTTTGGTTTGACCAACGTATGGAGCCTTCAGGAGCTTCGATTACGTGTATGAGGTAGGAGTCTGCTTAAATAAAAGACGTCACCCCCTCTTCCTTTTCGCCGCGGGCTGATGACATCCAGAAGAAAAGGAGAACCAAAATCTGGTTCTCAGTGGCCTCCAGCGACAACGTGGCATCGGTTTTCGTGTGTGTGAGTCCTGCTCAAAGATAGCGTGAGATTGCCTGCGCAGTGGTGCTTCAGCCCGATAGCCATCACCCAGCGCAGCCCTCACCCCTGTCCCTGGAGCCCAGGAGAGAAACTACAAGGTGGTTTTAGCTGGAAGGAAGGAATTTTTCTGCTCCTCTTCTCGTTATGGGAGTTAGGTCCTCGGGTGCAGCGTGGATGTGAGCCCATGGTCATCCAGCATGGAGGTTATGTAGTATTTCTCCTAAAGTGGTGGTGGGATTAGTTTGGGAACTGTGCTATCCCAGGTTGTCTCTCCGGGCATTTTTGGTTTGGGTATGGACTTGGCCACTTTAGGGCAGAGCGCAGAGAGGAGGGAAGAGCAGAGCAGCCCGGTGTGGTCACAGCAGTGGCATCCCCTGGACGAGAAAGTCCCATCCATCTGGGGCTGGCACGGCTTGGGTCAGCACTTGGTTGCAGCTGGATTCCATGCGTCCATTAAAGTTCACAGCTGCCATTTTCAGAGGGAACTGAGGATGACCCCATCCCCTGGGAATCCCACCAAGAAACAGTTTGGGGCTCTCCTCCTCCTTTTGTTGTAGATAAAATTAATCAGCGCAGTTAATTTGGTATTCGTATGTTGGGCTTTTTTTCTGTGAAAGCTTTGATAAGGATTTTAGAACGGCTCAGAGGATGGCAAGTGTTTGCTGGGTTTGGAGATATATTGCTTCCTTAGAGGTTGGGTAACATCTTGCAACATCATTCCTTGGTGACAACATCAACATACTGACTTGCCACAGCTCCCTTCGTCCCCGGCGCTGCAGAGCCAAGCCCGAGGAGCTGATCCAGTGCCAAAAGTGTGGCCTTCACATCTTGCAGAAGCAGGTGTCAAATGCTACCTTCAGCTGTGTCAAAGGTCTTTCTTCCATTTCCCCCAAGCCTTTGGATGAGATTTGGTACAAAGAATGGTATCCAAAGAAAAGGGAGAGGTCTAGGAAGAGAGGGTTGGTTTGTTTTTTTTTTTTCCTTAGCAGCAGGGCTTGCTTGCTTTCAGCAGGGCTTCTTCAGGCAACATTGGCTTCTTTTGAAATGACCTCCTCTGCGAGCTGCTGCCAAGCTCCTCGGGAATCGGGAGAAATAGGAGGGAGAGGAGCTGGAGTGAGGTCTGACAAATCTTGACGGTGTGATTTCTCACCCTGTTTCATTTTGGCAGTCACCAGACCACAAAAGAGCAGGGAGGGGAGGGATCAAGGCATAACAATTTCGGCACATAGAAGAGATTTGTCATATAATAAATAAGATTATTAGAGCTGTCAGCAGAACTGTCTTGGGATTATTTGTGCCTCCCTGCCTGCAGGGCTTGGGAAAAGAACCCCTAGGAGGATGGAAACAACTGGGTTCGTTGGGAGGAATTGTTCAGTCACCGCCTGCGTCCGTCGGCCACACCGAGAGATGCTCAGCATCTTGCAGCACTTTCTGCCCATCATCTCAACTCGTCCTTTACCTGTTGGTTCTGCCGGAGAAGTTGAGTTTGGTCTTTTTTCATGGACTTTTAACATAAAAATCCCCTTTTCACCATTTGTGGTGTTTTAAAGGTGTATGTGGTATGGCTGGCATGCATACCGGATGCTGGAGTAACCGTCAAAATTATTAACTAGTGGAAAACAAACTGTTCTGATGCCAGACTGCGTTTGTAAATAGGGCACCTCTTCTTGGTTCCTCCAATAAATAAATAAATAACCTTTTCTATTTATTTCAAGAGCTGTTCTTGCTACAGATCTCTGTATAATAGGCTTTGTCTCGGACCTAAAAATAAAATGAAATGGTGTTTTAACAAGTAGGGTCCAAAAGTTACAGCTTCTATGTCCACAAGGAAATTCCAGAGACAACAGAGGGTTTCCGTTCCCATTCGAGAAGTATGAGTACTCTGTATTTTGGGCATGACCGTATATATTGGGGTGCAGCAGAAGGACATGACAGTAATATTTCACTGGTTATGCTCTTTGTAAGGGCTGTAGGTGGATATCCTGCCTATGGCAAGTCTGAGCACTTTGCTTGTCCAGCTCTGCTGCTGTGGCTGGTCCAAAAAGTACTTTTTTTCCTGTATATTTTGCTGCTAATTGCGAGGAAGGTATTTCAAAGGCTCTTTTCAATATAGTTTTTCATTTTGGGAGAAGGAAGTGTCCCCGAGCATGGCATGTGTAGACCGACCCCTTCCATTGCGTAGCTACTATTTGGAAAAATTACTGAGCATAAAAAAAGAAGACTCATTTAAAAGGGGGAAAAAAAATAATTTTAAAATTTTATTTATTCCTTCTGTATGTTAACGGCAAGAAGAACAAAAAAATGAAAGTAAAAACCTTTTTTTGACTCTTCAGTGTTGAATATACCGTAGAAGTCCCAGTGGTCAAGAAATTGTGACTCCTTGGCCCGCTGTGGTCTTGAAATTAGTCGTTAAGGCGTGTGTAAAATACATCAGTAGCAGTCTTAAGAGTAACGCTTCGTTTCCAATCTTTTTTTGTAATTCCTTAGGGCAGGGAGGGTGGGAGCTGGTGCATCCAGCACTGCCAGAGCCACAGCATCCGTCTCAGCTCCTCACATCGGCGTTTTAACTCCCAGGAGACTGTAGCATTGCTGTATTTATTCCTCCCCTTTCCCACCCCCCACCTCCTTGGATGCTCTCTGTGCGTTTCGTTTGTGTACATGGGTTTTTTTTTGTAGTGTAAGATATGAAATTTTCTATTTTTTCATAAAAATAAAAACCTTTGACTAACAGTGACATCCAGTTGTGGATCACACGCACGCGGGCCCCCTCGGCTTTCCATGAAGTGTTGGGATTTTCCCCCTTGAAAAGGAAATAAATCCTTTTTATTTTCTCTCTCCTAGATACAGGCTTGGCACTAATCTTGAGGGAGAGAGGGGCCTCCGGGGTGAGGGAGATGTGTAGACCCCATGTGAAGGCATCTTACCTTGTTACAGGCTGTTTCCTCTTTCCTCTGTTTTTATTTTGGGAGGAAAATCTGCATTTTGGTCTGGTTTGTGGGGCAAAGAATTTTTTTTTACCAAACGGAGCCCCAGAGCAGCTCCTGGCCACACCATTCCCCCATCCCTCAGAAATATCTTTTTTTTTTTGTGATTCTTTTTTTCCCCCCCAAGAACTGATTTTCTTTTTCTCTGATTTCTTTTGGGGGTGGGTCCCCAGTGGATCCATGGCCAGATGGAGCACCCATCACCACATCTCCAACCCCCTTTCCCCCCTGCCCCATGGATTTGGGGACAACGTCATGCTGCAAAGGGGCATGTGCCAGCCTTGAAGAGAGGTGAGAAAAGCCATGGGTGGGAAAGGCTGAGGGGCGATGGGGGAAAAGATTGGCCTGGGAAAGGTCTAATGGAGGTGGTGGTGGCAGCATCTTCTGGCTTCTGTGAGATGACCACTGCTGAAGGGCAAAGAGGAGAGCTGCGGATGAGGATGCTGGTTCTACTGATGTCATGGGAAGCCGTGGCAGACAATGGACTTGGACCTTGCCCAGGAAAGGCATGGTAGGCTGGGATGGCAGAGGAACGCTGCTTTATATAGTAAAGGAAGAACAAGGTCAGCTGGGTTACCAAACTGAGGTTGTCAGCATTCAGACAAAATCTCTCTGGATTGACCTGCCAGTCCCATGCAGTGTTTTCTTATTCAGCCCGGGGCTGTCTGCTGCTGGATTATGGTGACAGACACTGGGAGTGATCAGAGGGGCTTTGAGGACAGGGGCAAAAATGAGATTAACTCAGCCCATGTAGGCAGCATCCTTGATAGCTTTGTGGAGGCAGAGAGCCAGCTAAGGGGAAAACACAAAAACAGGGAAACTTCTTTCAATTTTTTGAAAACGAAATAGCTTTGCAGGTGATGGGAAGGCATCAGACAACCAAGGCTGGGCTCATGGGAAAAATGGGAAGGTTCACCACCTCTAAAAGCTTCAACACAAAAAAGAATTAAAGAAAGCAAGCTAAAATCTTGAGGAACAAGGTTGTTTATCAAGGTGTTCCTGATTTCAGCTGCCATAGAAATAGGGATTGTGCCTTCATGAAGACACATCCATGAGAGCAGCTGCCTCCTGTTCCTGTTTTTCAGCCAACATGAGCGTGAGGGAAAAGGGGATTAGGATGCAAATGGTCAAAACTTGCTACGGCTACCAGTAATGATGACAGCTGGCTGCAAACTCCTTCCATAACACTCTGTTCTAAGTAAGAACTGAGGGATTAGGCAATTTCCTTGAGCCTTTGTGCTCACCTTGCTTTGGGACCAGCCCTTAAACAAATCTCAAATTAGGGTTTGCTTATTACTTTCCACCGCTGGGCTCGGTGTGAGAAGAGACACTTGCAGTCTGTGGCCACCGACTAATAAATTTACCTGCTCAGAAAGGTAAGGTGCTTTACCTGCAAAGCGGGTCCTTAAGCATACACCTGACTTATTTTTTGGGTGGTTCTCCTGCACAGCCTCTGGCCAGTCCCTGCAATAAATGCGCAGCTGCGTCTCCAGTCACGAACGCCAACTCTCGAGGATGCTTAATAAGCCGTGAACAGGGTAACATTATTCTCTGCATCACTCTTGTTTTCAGCAAACCCGAAACAAACTGCAAA